CACTGGCGGACAAACTCTCTGCAATCCCTTTCATTTTCTTAATGAATTCATTTACACTCATACTTCCTTTTTGAGTGTTTTGAAGTAAATTTTTCAAGTGAAGTGTTCTTGCTTTGGAATCGCTAAGAAATTCATTTTCAAGACTATACCAAATTTCAGAGGCAAACTGACATTTGGATATATGACTAAACATACATTCTGAAATAGAAGCCAAAAGCCAAGTTACAAGAAGCTTATCAGTCTTTTTCCAAGCTATATAAGCTGGATTAATCTTCCCTTTAGTTAGGTTATTTTCAATTGATTCAGTAGAACAGTCAATTTCTGAAGCAATCAAGGGTTCAGGACAAGGAACAAAACCTGTCAAATGTTCCTCCAATTCGTGCGCTCCTACGGCTGATAAGACTTGCAACCTCCAGAAGCGGTAATTGTCTTTGTAATTATCCCTTGTAAGCTTCGGATTCACTACTTGTAAGCTAGATGAGAAGATTGAAGATTGAGAAGAGTTGAACAGTGAAGACTGAGTTGAACCGAGAGTTGTTTTCTCCATGTTACAATCGGACTGAAAACCAGAAACCTTAGCCATGGACGCTAGTCACAGGCTCTGATACCATATGAGATTTGGAACAAAATTGAAAGAAAATTGAGAACTGAAATTCGTAGATCTGATTTCTTATTTCAGAATATTACAAACTGCAGTTGACCTCTCTTTTATATTAAATGAGAGAGATGACAATGATAATGAAAAACGACACCGCATGAGTTAGTAAACAAAACTATTGTCTTGACCTTTTTGCCCTTTCTTCTTTCTTTGGTCAACAATTTATTCAATCATCCCACCAAATTAATTATTAAATCTGAATTCTCTTATTTCAATAATATCTTCTGTGTTTATGGTTTTCTTTTTTCTTTTTTAATTAATGGTACATCCGAAAAATTCTCTAATCAAGTTTTTCATGAAACCTGATTTGAAGACAATTTTCTTCTTCTTTTAATTAATAATCCTTGTAAACTACACAAAGGTCTAAAGGTCTCTAAATGCTACTGGCAAGTGATAAAATGTAAACTTAATAAACCATATATCACATATAATGTTAAACAATAAAACTAGTAACAATAGGTTATATATATTGCCTCACCAACTAGCTAATCAAATGCGAGCCCCTCCTCGGACGTATTCCTTCTTTTACTCATCAGCACGGCATTAGCAACCGTTTCTAGCTGTTGTTCCCCTCCCAATGGCAGGTTCTTACGCATTACTCTCCTCCGTCTCTGGAAACACCACTTTCCATCTGACTTGCATGTGTTAAGCATGCCCCAGCATTCATCCGAGCCAGGATCGAACTTGAAATCAATTTTCATGCTTAAAAAAAAAAAAAAAAAAAAAACTCTAGATCTAGTGTACAACATTTATGAATTTTGTCAATAATTAATACCGATCCACACTTAGTAATTCACGTCTTACCTCTAAAGAACTCACATTATTTTCTGTTTTTAACTGGGATTTCTCTAATCCACAATGTCACCCGAGCAGGGGGATCATGCATCGATATCTCTGTCTTCCCTAAATATGCCTAGTAACGTCTGTTCATTTGAATCTGTGTGAGAAGTGCGCATGAAAATTTGAATGTACAACTGACAATCAAGACTACAAAACATTAATAAATAATGGTATTCTAAGCTAAATAAGTTTTTTACATAAAAACCATACATCTTTTTAACATTTCATTTCATTAACCAATTAGGGGCCAAGTTATTATTACTGATGATAATATATATGATGAAATTGTATATATCTGTGACTTTTGACCAACTATATAATTGGTTCCTAAACTATCGACATCCTATTTATCATACAAAATTTCAACACGTTTTGAAATCAATGTTTCACGACACCATGGCAACTACATATTTATTCATGGGCGGCGACTAAATTAAACCTCTTGCTTTTTCAGGCAATCACGTTCGTTTAATTGATTGGCAAAGAGATAAGTTTCTTCTCAAATCGTGCAGCAGTGTAGTTTTACTTGTATATTTAATTCAGTTGATAATTTATAAGAGAAATGGACCATCCTCTGATCTATAAAAGGCCACTTCCTTGAGCAATTAACCAATACATCATTTCTTTTTTCATACAATATTTCGATGGCTCTTAGTCGTATCTTCTTCACAAGCTCTTTGCTTCTCTTCTCGTTGCTTATCCTTGCTTCTGCAGGTGATTATGGTTATAGCACCAACCCGGAGGGTGACAAACCAAAGTCTCAGGGTTACAATTCCAAGCCAGAAAGCAATGGTTATGACTCTAAACCATATGTGGAGAAGTTAAAGCCTCAGGATAATGGTTATGGATCTAAGCCAAAGGGCAATAATTATGGCTACAAACCATATGTTAAGAAGTCAAAGCCTCTAGTAAAGGGTTACGATTCCAAGCCAGAAGCTAATGGTTATAGCCCCAAACCATATGTTGAGAAGTCAAAGCCCGAGGAAAAGGGTTACAATTCCAAGCCAGAAGGCAGTGGTTATGGCTCCAAGTCATACGGTGAAAAGTCAAAGCCCGAGGGCAATGGCTATGGTTCCAAGTGATCACATGATAATGGTTATGGCTCCTTACTATAGGTTGAGAATGCAAAGCCTAAGGAAAAGGGTTATGGTTCTAAGCCAAAACATAATGGTTATGGCTCCAAGTTATATATTAAAAAGTCAAAGCTTGAGGGTAGTGATTATGGTTCCAAGCCAAAAGGTGATGGTTATGGTGCCAAACCATATGTTGAAAAGTCAAAGCCTAAGGGTAATGGTTATGGTGCCAAACCATATGTCGAAAAGTCAAAGCCTAATGGTAATTAATAGTTATGGTTCCAAGCCAGAAGGTAATGGTTATGGCTTTAAACCATACGTTGAAAAGAAGTATGAGTATAAGAGTTATTCTAATTTCTAGGCCAGAAGAAAATGGTTATGGCTCTAAACCATAGGTTGAGAAGTCAAAGCCTGAAGATAAGAGTTACGGTTCAAACTTCAAAGTCAGAAGGTAATGGCTATAGATCTAAGCCAAAAGATAATAGTTATAATTCAAAGCCAAGTGGTAATAGCTATGGCCCTAAGATGGATTTTCAAAAATCAAAATCCGCATAATATCACAGTGAAGACTCAAAACCGAATCACAATAAAGGTGCGTTTTGTTCGAGGAATATTGGATTACTGGTTATGTTAGATTATCAGAATCTTATATTATCTTGGAGATTATTGGAAATCTTTAGAAAAATATGTTTAGTTAGTTGGTGGGTATTTTATATTAATATGTTTGGTTAAGGGAATAAATTGGTGTGTATGTTATTTAAATTACTAAATTACCCTCTTTTTAAATATTAATATAATATTATTTTTATTATTAATTGTTGAATAATTTTTTTAACCCCCAATATTTCAGATTTAGCTAAAACACCTCCGCTTATATAAAACTTTAATTTATGACAAAATCACCCCCTGCCACCACTTGCTGCCACCGTAAACCACCGTCGGAAGTTGCCGAAAGTCCCCGTGAGTAGCTCACCGTGACCGCGAGGCTCCGATATGGCCAGAAATGGCCAAATCTATTTTGGCCATTTCAAGCCAGATCGATAGATCTGGTCGTTAACGGTTAGATCCTTGGCCATTATCGACCAGATCTGGGCGAGATCTACTTGTTAATAGCCATAAACCTGGTCGTTGGCTGTTAACAGGTAGATCTCGCCCAGATTTGACTGCTAATGGCCAAGGATCTGGCCTGAAATGGCTGTTTTCGACCATTAATATGGCTAGAAACGACCATATCGAAGCCTCTTGGAGCCTCCCAGCGACTCTCGGTCATTTTTAGGGACTCCGACGACTTATCGGTGGCGGTCCGTGGTGGTTGGCCTGCTGTTGACGGTGGTGGCTCGGTGGTAGTGGTGGTCTGTAATTTGTTTTAAATATAAGGGCATTATTGTCCAAAAACTTAATTAAACAAGGGTAAAATTGAAATGATATATTAATGTAAATTGATTTTAAAACAGAGGCATTATTGTCCAAAATTTTTATTAATAAAGGATAGAATTGTAACAAAAATAAGATTACCTTAGTAATCTTACAATACTTAAGAAAATGGAGGTAATCAGATTACCTCCACTATTACCAACAGTAACAGCTATTAGTAATACAAGATTATCGTAATCTTATATTATTTGACAACTAAATATGGTAATAAAGTAATATAAGATGACATAACTCCAGTAATTTTAAATTACCTTCAACCAAATGGCCCCTAAAGGTTATGACTCTAAGCCAACAAATACTGACTTTGGTCGTAGGTCGGCTCCAACTAGTTATTAAATTTATTTATTGTTTGCAAATGCTCTATGTTCTATGTTTTGATTTTTCGTTTTTGTTATTATTTTTTGTCTCAAAATTCTTCCTGTTCATTGTATTCTTTGATTTGTGATTAGAGAAAGATTACCAAGTGGGTAATGATGTCATTGCGCAGTTATGTATTCAACACCTCATGAGATTGAGAATTTCTTTAATCTAAATCTCTAATCAGATCATTAACACGCCTCAGGTTTCAGTATCCATTCCAAAAGAGACTTTGTGCTGTGATAGAAATAATCCATTTTGAAATATGATCATTGTTTGAAATAGTCATTTCTACCCTTTCAACCATCAGATTTCACTACCAGTGTCGTCTCATATTTACTTTCACCATACCTTAATGATGTCCATGTAAAACTCCCCAAAAATGATTATGTGTATCTGCCCCACCTTCCTCGCATTGGATTTTTCAGGTTTTTCATTAAAAGCAAAGGAAAATTCTCACATTCAGTTATCTTATCTTGTATCACTTTTCCTGCCATGCCCGCAAGGCCAGTCTCGACTCTGTTTCCTGTGATCAGATTTTCAGGTTCAAAAGACAAACTTTGATTTCCTGTGAAGGATCTATGTTTCTTTTGTTTATCATTATAATTATATCAGGTTTCAGAATTTGTTGTAGCAAAATAATATTTATGATAAGCCACAAGTGTAATATACAACTGCAATAGCACAAGAGGAATACATATCAATTACATTTAGGTAATAGCTTAATAAAGTGGTGAAAACCACAGGAAAAGTTAAGAACTGACTTAATAGTATCGCCATTTAAGGTAAATGATATCCCTTTCGAGGAAATCATAATCTACCCGCTGTAAATAAATAGAGAACTTTTTCAGAAAGTGACTGGTTAGATATAAAAGAAGGTAACTCTTTGTACCAAGCATGCTCAACCTCTGCTTCATTGATTCACTCAGGTTCAACTTCTCCATTCATTAATTCACTCAAATCTTACTCGCTCAAGTTGAAAACTTCCTCATTCATCGATTCACTTAACTCCTACTCCGTAGTCCGTAGAACTGCTTCCACCTTCATTCATTGATTTATCAAACCCCAATTAAGAAGGATGTCATTTGGTGAAGAGAGATGTTCTGTGATCATGACAAGCATTCAGTTCGAGCCCTGTCCATGATTATAATTGACAAAGAAGTTAAAACTCTGGATATAAAACCATAAAGAAGATAGAGGTTTATGAGATCTTTCATTACATGCCTCGCAAATTTAGTAAGCTCCCACCATAATATTGATACTAATAAGATTCTAGTAACATGTAACAATGTTGTAGTAATGAAAAATAGCTTTTACAACAAGTGTCTAAGGTTACTAAAACATTACTTTTGTTTAACAAAGTCTTGTCTTTGCCAATAAAACATCATGCCAGTAGCATTAATGTACCAATTCTTAGTTTGGCTACAAAGAAAAATTTTATTTGAAAACAGTCTTTGCTACCACAAATGGCTACGAGCCAGCCTAGATTGATTAGTAAACTTAGAAGAGAAAATCCGACAGGGCCCGGCTTTTCTTTCTTTTCTTTTTCTGGAATATTTTGCACCCTTCAAAATGAAGAGCTACTTCAGGTTTCTATTAAAAACATCTAAAATTGCTTTACTATCAGACAGGGGGAAAATGAGAATACAGAAAATATTTATTAAGTTTACCATTGATTTGCAGCAAAACAAAACATATTATTGCGAGTGAGAGATATTCAAAATAATTGATATTCAAGTTCTTATAAAACAACTATAATATTACAAAAAAAGTATACGTTAGCGAAGTAAAACCAAGCTCTATTTAAGATGAAAATCACTATTAACAGTAGTTTCTCTGATGAGAAGAAAAAAGGTGTTAAGAGACCGTCCCAGCCCAACACTAGAGAGCCAAAATCATGACTGATAGAAGCTAGAGCATGAAGTTTGAAACGATTCCCTAAAATTTACAATAAATTTTGTTCAGGAAAAGTTTACAATATGAAACTACACTAAATAGAGAAACTACTTGAATCATTCAACTAATCATAACTCTTGAACCTCACGCTCAAGTATCCTACAAAGAGTACATTCACTATCCAAGACAAACTAAATGAACCAAATCCAAGAAGATTATTAAGCACAAATAGCTAAAGTTTGATTGTGAAAAACCGAGCACATTAAGAAATTATTCAGCACAGAGAGACAAGAAGGAACAGAGAAAAGTTAATCTATACTAACTTAGAATAAGCAATAAAAATAACATCTGTATTTGCATTGGGATGTTGAAAAATCTACATATAGGAGCCCTGCAAATTCTTTGATACCATGATTTCGCATCAGCATATCTGATGCGCACAGAATCTTTTAAAAGAGTCTTCAGTTTAGCTAACAAAATAGAAACCAATATCGAGATACATATGGATGAATGATGATTGCAAATTCTTTGATACCAAGTTTCCTCGTCCTGTACTATGGTATTAGTACCAACACAATATTCTAGTAACAAGTAAAGATGTTCCAATAACAAGAAATAATATTTTATTAACACAATATTCATCATTCGTTGTAGGTACCAAGCATTGTACCAGTAAAATCACTATACCAATTCCCTGTTCGATTACGAGTAAAATCTTCAATATGAAAAAATGGATTTGCTAAACTACCACCCATTTGAACCTTTAATAAATTGATGGTAAAAAGAGAGAATTGGACAGACCTAGTTGTACTCTCTCTTCATTGTCAATCAAAATTTTTGTCATATCTAATAAAATTTAATGGTAAAAGCACCCAGACTCAAATTATTTACTGTTAAACAAGGGAAAATTGACACCATAAAAATCAAATATTCTTATAAGTTTACCTTATAAAGATATTACGATTCTTCTCAAACATATATAACATTGCAAAATTAGTCCCTCCCTAAGATGAAACTCACTAGAACCACCCACTTGTGGCCGGATGGATAGATGGGCGCATGGTTGAAAGCACCTCCAGGTCTCCTTGGTGGCCAATTACCCTACCTAAAATAAAATAAAAAAACTCACTAAATCTATAGGCAGAAACATTATGCAACTTCAACAACAAGAAAAGAAATGCTTACATTTAGCGAGAGGCCAGAGAGCTCCAAGGAACAGCCATAACAATACTTTGGAAAAGCTAAGGGCGACTCAGTAGTGGTATCATCATTCAAAGTGAAAGTCCCCGGATCGTGTTTAGGGTGATCTAAATCAACCTCCATGAGAAGTCTTTGAGCTAAATAAACACAGACCCGTTTCCTAAGAGTGTGGAAGAGAAGATCTGGAAAACTAATGGCAAAAGCTAGAAGTAGAAGATGAAGGAGAAAGATATTTTTTTGAAGGTGGGGACTAGGGCTAGTCCTTTGTCAGTCTCCACCTTTAAAAAATTTTATATACATTTCTTTCTTTTTTCCTTAATAATATAGAATTCATCTTTCATTAATAATATAGTATACAGTATTATAGAATTCATTCATCTCTCTCATTTCAACCCTCTTTATTCCATCTTCTGCCGTTCAATCCTTCTTATTTTATTTTCTTGCAATTACACTACCAAATTTTCTAACATACATGCTTGATTATATAAATCAAATTTAAATAAAAAATCTGAAATTTAATTACCAAAGTTAGTTTTAAAAAGTATTTCTAATAAAAAGTCATAATATTATATAAGCTCGTATTATAATAATATTACAGTATATGATCTTTGAGGCATTATTACCTACACTAATTTATAGTTACTTTTTTTAACTAGATTTTAAAACTAATTTCTATTTTAAATTTAATAATTTAATTTTAACTTGATAAATTTAAATCTTTTCACCAGCAATTGCCAGAAACATTGGAAAAGAAATTTCTAACAAATGAGACAACACCTCTAGCACCAAAGTGATCAAAGTCCAATTGGATAGAGTTTAAATCGTTTTATGAAATATATAACACCAAAAGTTCTGTCATTGCAAGTGACAGAGATTAAAGATATGAAGAGATTAATTAATTGTTGAACACACACACACACAAAAACTGTATATCCATGTAAGCAAATATAAACTTCTTTTTGAAACCAAACTCTGTGGCAGCGACAGTTTTCAGTGAGCCAACATTATTGCAAAAGAACATCAAGATTCTAATAACTTGTAAAGAAGCAAAAAGAGTGGAGGCAAACCCAGGTTTAAAGTTTAAACCCCCTCCTCTGTGATGAGCAAAATGTGAAATGACCACAATCAAAAAGTGGTCTCCCTACTCAGTTTTATGTTCAGTTTTCCTTATTTGGCTCACCAGCCATAACATTCTCTGGAAGAGCCTGCAAGGCTGGTCTCGTTTTAACACCATTTTGTCCTTCATTGTTCTTCTTCTTGTTGGTTATTTGGAGCTGGTTTTTCAACATCTTGGTTAGCTCCCTTAAACTTTTCTCATTCAATGATTGCGACATGTCCTCATCAGTTGTGTTCTTGTCCTTTGTTTTTTCCTTTTTAGACTCCAATTGCATCCCACTGCTGTCAATGTTCTCCTTATTGTATGCAGGCAGTGTTAGTTTCTGAGCTGTGTCCTGTTTCTTGCTGGAAGAATGCTTTTGGGTCGACTGAGTTGGTCGCGGAAACTGGCCTGAAATTGAATCAGCTCTCAACGGTGACATTGGACGATAATCTGGAGTCTTGTCAACAGAGATTGAATCAATTTGCTTCACAGATTTTGGAGTCTTGTTCTCATAAGAAACTTCTGCTTCTTTAATCTCTTCTGTATCAAATTCTTCCTTGATACCATCAGAAGTAGGGACTTCTGCTTCAATCAAATTAACATCAACTGATCCTTCTGAAGAAGATATGGGAGCTTCTGCTTCAGTCAATTGAACATCAACAAGTTCATCATCTGAATCAAACTCATCGTCTGTCTCAGCAGCATTTGGATCATCAGAACTGTAGGTTGCCTCACCATTATCTGAATCAAACTCGTCATCTGTCTGACCATTATCTGAATCAAATTCGTCGTCTGTCTCAACATTTGGATCATCAGAACTGTCGGTTGCATTGTCAGACTCGAACTCATCATGTGTCTCAACTGCAACCTGCATGTTCATTACACATTCAACTGCAACCTGCATGTTCAATGGAGTAGCATTGGAATTGGTAATATATTGATCAGAACTGTTGGTTGCCACAACAATGTCTGACTCAAACTCATCGTCTGTCTCAACATTTGGACCATCAGAACTGTAGGTTGCAACAACTTTGTCCAGATGAACACTCTCCTCTTCAAGACATTCTACTGCAACCTGCTTGTTCAATGGAGAAGCAATGGAATTGGCAACAAATTGATCGGAATCAGCCTCTGAATTCTTTCCAGAGGTTATAATCTGGTCTTTAGGAACAATATCTTCCACCACCTGAGCAGAAATTTCATCAGACTCCTCAGCAGCAAGGGGCTGCTGTTCAGGTTCCATCACCTTAATAGATGCATTCTCAGTTTCGGATAAGGACTGAGTTTCTGAAATATCAACAGGTCCTGCAAGGCAATCGACATATTTTTGGAGAAATTCACATAAATAGTAGACTTAAAACAGCATAAAATAAAACAGAAATACTGAATATCACATACCGATTTCATTTGAGTGTTTGAGCAAAAGCTCATCTGATGCATCACGAGTCTCATCATGGTTGTCATCCTTTGCATCTAAAACTGAAACATTATCTGAATTGACATAATTCTGAGTGCCCACATTGCAATCTTCCTCTCCATGCTCATTACTCTTGTCCTCGTGAACTTCATCTTCCGATTCCCGTTCATTCTCCAATGACTGGAGAAAACTTACACCCGAAGAAACTTCTGAATCATTGTTCTTTTCCAAACTCACTTCTGCATCACACACCATTTACAATGTTCAAAATCTCTTGACAATTTAGCACGACATAACAAACTTTAATAATTGGCTTAAACTGAAAAAAAAAACTAACACAAATTGGAAACTTACCAGAGACATCCTTCTCTTCAGTTTCATCCAAGACATCCATTTTCACGGACTCTTCCTTCTCTTCATCCTTCAAACTCAAATCAGCCAAGGACTTCTCAACCAATCTCACAGACCGCCTTGTGCTGTACACGCGCTGTACCGGTTCCTCCTCCAACTTTCTGCTAGTTGAACCCACTTGAACCGCTCTCCTCCTACCAGTCTGCACCATAGGGGTCTCAGTCTCAACCCCACAACTCATTTCCTGCACCACGTTGTCCTTCACTTGAGTGCCCGTTTTCTTGCTAGCTGAGGCTGCTGGTTTCCTCCCCCTGCTTGCTGGCACTGCAGGAGTCTCGCCCACGTTCACATTCTGGTTTTCCTGCTCCAAATCTTTGTCTAATGTTTTTCTTGTTGTGCGGCGAGTTCTGGTCATTGGTTGCACGGTTTCAGGATCCTCCTTGATGGCTTTTCGTTGAGTTGAGGTTCTGTTGGCAGTCCGAGGAATCAGTGGTGATTCAGTCACGGTTGTTTTCTCTGGTGACTGGGATTGGTTCATTAACTCATCTAGTCCTTCAACCTGAGAAGACATAGTTAAGCAAGAATGTCAATTAAATTGATGAAAATGAAAATAAAGACTTCTGTTTGATTCATGAGAATAAAGTTACAATCAAGACAGCTTTTTTTTCAAAAGGGCTTTTTACAATAACACTTCAAAGTCCTAACTAGGGAATCATACAATAAGTAAATGTCTCTTAAATATCCAAGAAAAAAAAAGCACTTTCCACAAACAGTTTCTCGGCAATCAATCAGAATCTTAAAGAAAATTTGCAAACAATCAGGATATTAAACTTAAATCGGAACTCTTAGATTGTCACAAGATCAATAAACTATCATGCCCCAAAACATCTTCTATTTTCTCACAATTTCTTCTCAACCAAACACAAGAACTGGGTATCTCATCCCAATATTTAAACCCTTCAAGATTAAAATAAACTTAAATCTGAACTTCTTGGTTGCCACAAATTGAGACATTACTATTTTTACCGGGATTCATTTAAAGATTACCAAAGATTTCTTCCATTCTCCAACTAATTTCAAGATTTAAGAAGTCGTGGCAATAACACTCCATTTTCATGCCCACCAGTTTAATAAAAAATTATAAATATATTCTTTCCACAAGATTTCAAGATGCCAAACAGAAAAATTTATTCCATTCTCCTACTAATTTTAAGATTAAACCCAGAAAAAAAAAAATCATTTTCAAAATTTAACAAGAAGTGGGCATTGAAAATCCATTTTCATTTCCACCAATTAAAAAAAAACATTTTTTTCATAAGATTTCAAGATAACAACCAGAAACAAGAACTGTGTATTGACCAAACGAATACAAAGCTTACGAATTCAAGATCGGCGAGAGCATCAGCCATGGCGACGTTGGTCATGTTGGCTGGGATCTTGTTCTTCTTGCATAGAGTCTGGAGCTCTTTCCTTGCAAGGCTATGGAAATCCATTGATGAATTTTGAAAACAAAAAACACAAAAAGGGTTTTGGGTTTTGAAAAAAGATTGTTTTCCGTTAGGTTTTGGTTCTAGTTTTAGCTGCGGAGAAGATCAAGAGCTTGGGGTTTATATACAGCTTTCGTCGAAGAAAAACCTAGAAAAATAGAACCGTTGGGGCGCGATTTCAAATTTGAAATGTGGGTCCCACTGTTTTTTTTTTTAAACCTATAATTTTAGAGTGTGAGATATTTTCGGATTTGTTATGGTAATTTTTGGTGAATTTATTTTATTTTATTTTATTTGAAAAGAAATAATAATATAAAATATAAATAATTTGGAAAATTAATTTTCGAAAATATAAATTTAATTATAAAAATATTTTTTTTCCCTTTATATATTAATATGAGATTTATTATTTGAAATTTTATAAATACCATAGCACACTCAAATATTTTCATTAATTTTTTTTAATCTAATTTTGTCTCTTTTTCTTTTGTAATTTTTTTTTTTTCACTTGGGCAATATTAATTCATTTTTCTTATTTCAAAATTCTTTTATAATTTTGATATAAATATTTGTTTGTATCGAAAATATAAATGATTATTTACTTTATTTTTATTTATTAAAAAAATTAATTTGGAAATTTTTTTTAAATTTCTTTTAAAATAAATGCATTTATTTATTTAAAACTAAAGTAAAGATTTCGTTGTATCCTTTTACAGAATATTTCAAAGAGATAAATCAATTTTTTAGGGATGCTAATATTAAGACGAAGATATCATTAAGTAAACATGATATTAAAATGAATTAATGGAGAATTATTATTGGGTGAGTAAGTTTATTAGTAAGAAAAAAGTTTATAATTATTTTGTTACTTCAACCTCAATTCGATACTCATCAGTGTTATTTTGATATGTTGAAACTTAGGGGAAAAAAATATAGTCTTAGGATTGCGAATAGACACTATAGGATCGAGATTTAAGATGGTGTTAGACTTTAGGGGGAGTGACCCGGTAAGTCCACCTCCACGACATTAAGACAATTGCTATATCTTAATGCCATTTCGAATCTAATTTTAATATTATAAATAGGTAACAAATTTGGGTGGATTACCTAAAGGTCTTATGTTCGAGTCCTATAAAGTGGTCATTTACCATATTTGTGACTTACCTAGTCCATTAGACTTGTAGGGTGTTCAATGGACTTGGGTGATTTGCTAAGGTGCGTATAAGTTGAACCAAACACCCCAGTTATCAGAAAAAAAAAAAAAGAATATGATAAAAATTGGATTCGCAATTAGATTGACAACTATTTGAGCTGGCAACCAATTTAACTTGCAATTGACACCTAATTTTTAAGGTCTTAAACCACCACAACTACTTTACCATTATTAGATTTGGCATGAAAAAGCTTCATTAATTAAATTTTGCTTTAAGCCAATCCAAGATTAGGTAAGAGGGGACCAAATCCAAGTCTATCATTAAATAAGGACAAAGCAACTTTGGATAAAAATGGTGAATTGTCTTAATCTTATTAAATTTTGATAAACCTCTTTAGCTTATCCTTCATTTTCATTGCTTGAAATTGGAGGCAATTTCTGAATTAAGAATGAGTTGCATGATGATTTAAAATTTCCCATATTAAGAATACAAGGATATTCAATTTAGGCTTTAATTTTGCAAATTTATCTATTAGTTGATTTTGAAAAGCATAATTTCAATCAATTTTCTCGTATCAAGATCCTAAATATTTTTCATTTAAGTAAATTTCACCCATCGGAAATGCTGATTTCAATTTAAAAAAAAAAAAAAAAAAAGAGATTTCCCTATGAGAGAATGAGTTCATCGTAATTTATATCATTTCAATATAGGGGATTTAATTTACCCTTCAAACCCACCTTATTCCCCAAATTTACAACCCAATCTCTATTACAATAGGGGTGGTTTCAGAAACCTACATAATCGATGGAGGTAGTTGCCATCCCTAATTTTAACTGTTACATATTCTTCTATGAAATGAAAAAAAAAAAAAAAATGTCATTGGTTAATTAATTAGTCGAATGTACATATATTGGATGATCTAACATAATATATTCTACATAATATTACCCTATAGTATATAGTATACATATTTGCTTATCTTAAATCATCAAATGACATTAAATTGATCCAGTTACATTGAAAATCTCAAAGTATGATAATGATACATTTTTCCATTTTAAATACCATGATTATGTTTTGTCATTTGATAACCAAAATCGTTCTTTAGAAAATCATTTTTTCGGTCATTGAAGATAACTAAAACAAAAAATTATCTTTCTTTGTTGTCAATTCAATTACTATTCATGACTTGACTCTATTTTATCTTTCTTTGTTCACCATTTTTTTTTTTTTCTCTTTTATTATTTATGAATCTATTTACTCGTACAGCCCAGACGTCTCGTATCACTATTCATTGATAAGATTTGGTATAATATTAATGAGATTAGAGATATGATGAAATCAATATTCAAATCTTTTGTCTTACAACATGTTGGCCATCATCGTTGCTGCCAGAATCTAGATCACGATTCAAGATTCCACGTGAATTGGGTAACGTTACCACGATATAGTATGAGGTACTCAAAAAAACAAATAAAACAAAAAATATATTTGGTTGGGCCTAAAATCCAACAACCCGTGGGTTGACTCGGCCCACCACGTAGAACTTGAACAAATGCTTATCATAGCCACAACATCAAAAAAACGCGTCGTGTAAGAAACACACCATTAATAGAAAAAAAGTTTAAATAATAGACCTCCCCCCTGAGGCATAAACAAATACAAAATTTCAGTAATATTCTTGAATAACAAAAACCTCCCTACTGTTAGAGATCTGTCAGTGAACCGTTAAACTTTTATACTGTTAAAAGTTTCATATAGTTACCAAATTATCTTTATATCGTTTATTTTAACCCTTAAAACTTAACGCTAAGGGAATTCCTATTATTTTCAAGACCTTAGGGAAATGGTTGTAATTGTATGATACCTCGGGGGAATTGATGACCAAAGAAAAAATTAAAAAATAAAAAAAAAACCGAACCTTCTAGAGAAAATAAATAAAAACAATCCCAAAATCAAAATCAAAATCCGAAAAAAATTTCACAAACCCTAGAAATGAAAAATCCCCAAATCTGAATGGAATCTCTATCCCTAACCCGATTCCTCCCCTTCGGATCCTCCATTCGTTTCCGTTACCGGATCTTCTGTTTCTCCCTTTTCTTCGCCGGCGGCTGAATCTGAACCGGAACCCGACCCGAATCGAGCCAGCCCTTCTCGTTTCTGTGTTTTTTTTTTTTGGTTGGTAGTTTTCGTTTAGAGAAAGTAGCGTTTTTAGGGCCAGAGAGCGTGCGTGTTTGTAAAGATGGGGAGTTCGGGGGGATCGGGAGGTGAAGGAGGAGGCGGAGGGGAGTGTGGAGTCGGGTCAATTGTGTGGGTCCGACGGAGAAACGGGTCTTGGTGGCCGGGGAAGATTCTCGGACCCGAAGAGCTCAACACCACTCATCTCACTTCACCGCGATCGGGCACCCCGGTTAAGCTGCTTGGACGAGATGATGCTAGTGTGTAAGTGTGGTTTTTCTGAATTTGTAGTTCAGTATATGATTGTGTTTGTGTATTTATTTTGGAATTAAATTTTAGTTTAGAATGATATTTTGTTTTCTGTTGAGAGTTTAGTTTTGGTATACTTGTTACCTGTTGCATTGTGTATAGAGTTGTTTGGTTGTAAAATTTGAAGGGTCAATGTGGTTTGCTTCATGAAGGTTTGGGATTTGATATTTTAGGGCTCCCAGTTTGAAGTTTGAATTTGCTAGGTGGGTTTGAGGATGTCTTGGTTAGTTGGGGGAAAGAAAATAATTGTTTTTTTCCCCTGGATTGTATGTTATTGTTAATTTGTAGCGGATATTGATTGAAGCTGGAATGAGAAAATTTTCTCTAAGTTTGGGAGGTTAACGACTTATAATCTTAATAGTTGATGTTAGTGGCATAAAGTTTTTAAAGGCTGGTACTATGTTAATTCCAAGTTGATATTGCATACATGATATTGGTTGCTTGATCTGATTAATACGGAATGGTAGTAAGTAAAGGTTAATACACTAATGATTCTAGTTATTAATTGGTTATGCACCTAGCTAGCATATCAACCTATTGGGCTTGCTGTGCTTATTGGTTGTATTGAATCAAGAAGTGTATATGTTATAATTGATCAATTGCTTTAAAAATAGGGATAATTTCAATACAGTTTTGGATAGCATAGAACAATTGATGATCATCAGTTTCTTTCTAACTTTTCATGTGCTTGAATGAGAAAAGGGAGTTGATGTCGAACTTTCTCTATGGTGCCTATCACCTTATGCCAAACTTTTCATTTAGGAGCAGTTCAATAAATATGGTCTGTGGACCACTCAAAGCTTAGAAGCAGACATCAGTTTCAGCACTAAAATTAGGGAAGCAATCTGGGGTCTATTAAATCATTCTTAATCTCATGATCTGGACCTCTTTCTGATCTCTATGTAAAATATAATTAGTTTGGGTTTGTGGGATTACTTCAACTCTTACCTTCTAGCCAACTCAAGAAGGTCTGTTCTAGTGGTGCTAAATTGATCACCATTTTTTTTATGTGAAGGGCTCATAAGTAACAGTCCTTACTGGTCAAGATAAGTCTCATGTTTTTATAAATATTTAGAAAAGCATACTGCTATTAGAATCAGAGCTGTGGGATGGTGGCATTTTGAAAGCATTGCTAGCCTCTAGCTGTGCTGGTTTGTTGGTTCTTGGTTCCAAGTTCTTATTATTGGGCAGCTCTACAAACTCTTTCTAGCTGTAATTTGCTTGTGTCCTTTATGGTTTCTGGCCAAATATGGCATTCTATGAGACTGAGCAAGAACAGATTAATTGAGTGTGATTGGAGAACAAAGTTCAAAATTTAGGATAACATATATGGGATTTTTGGATACAATTTCGATACATCTAACAGAAACAACTTAGAATCTTTTTAGATTTTGAACTGATTTATGAAAATAATCGAAAGCCAAATGCATTTTCTTCAGAGCTTTTGTGTCCGTTGTTTTAAAAATGAAGAAATTTATACAGATTGCAAATCAAACTAGGACTAAGCAATCTCACCTATTTCATCTGTTACTTTTTGCTACCTCTCTAAATTTATAATCTTTTTTCCCAGGTCAATATTGCCATACCAATGCAATAATCCCCTTTCCATTCCCAAAATTTGCAAAACTGTACCATTACAAGAATCTAAGCAAGTGTTTGATGGAAATATAATCGTTCATCTTACACACTGTTGTATTGGTTTGTTTTCCTTAGGTGCAGTGTGGAGCAAAATTTTTTTATTATATTTTCTCTATCTACAAGCTGTTACATTTTCTATTTGTTTTCACTTGTAAGACATAGTTTTTGTCATTTCTTCTCAGGGATTGGTACAATTTGGAAAAATCTAAACGTGTGAAGGCATTTCGATGTGGTGAGTTTGATGATTGTATTGAAAGGGCTGAAGCCTCCCAAGGCATGCCTGCCCGGAAAAGAGAAAAATATGCACGTCGAGAAGATGCTATTCTTCATGCACTTGAACTGGAGAAGGAGTTGCTGAGGAAACAAGGAAAATTAGATTCAACCTCGGATGCAAGAAGTAAATCATTGGTTTCTGTGAAAAAGGATATAGTTACACCTTCAGGAGCTTCAGATAGTAATGGTGGAAAATCTGGGAATTCCAAATCAAATCAAAGTTCCAAGATAATTGAAACATCTCCCAAGGATGAGGTTACTGATGCTTCTTTAAATTTGCAAAAAGCCAAAGATGAAAGTCAACCGGGCTTTGAAGATGGGCATTCTGAAGTCATACCTAGGATGAGAGGCTTGCAGGACTTAGGGCTTAGAACTGCCACTCCAAAGCGGAAGCTTTCTTCTCCTAGTGCTTCAGATGGTCCTGAGAAACCTACTGTTGACAACAATTTGCAGACTCCTTCCAGTGGTGATCCTGGCATGGGAAGAACTAGCCTTGCAAATGGTAAAATTCTTTAGAGAAAAAAAAAAAGGCATCATATGAGGGGTTGACTGATGAAAATTTTGTTCAATGCACATGATAGGAGTGACTCTCTTGTTTAATTATTGAAGACTGGTTCAGAGTTATCTTTCATTTCTTACACATGACTCTGATACTGTTGGTACTTATTTTTCAGGAGGGGAGCAAATGGGAGGTACTTTCCGGGCAAAGAGGAGTAGATATATTTACTTACCAGCTGAATCTAATGAGAATTTGGATTGTAAAGAAATTACTCCTAGCCAGACTGACATGTCAGCTTTGCCAGTTGAAGATAGTTACTGTGGTCCTCGTATTCACGTTGAAGAAAACTCGTCAGGGTTTATGGAAGATGATGAATCTGATTCTTCTGAGTCCGAGTCCGAGTCTGAGTCTGAGTCGGAGGCTGATTCATCTGAGACTGAACCAGATATTGATCAACAGATGACTATACTTTCAGGTTGAGTTTTACTAATTCTATCCCCTGTCAATATATGTTTTTCTCCATTGAGAAAGAAGTTGATTATTTTTTGTAGTTTAGAGTCACAATCAAAGATTAGTTGCTCATATACTACTTGGTGTTTTCTGTTCAACCATTGAGATTAATGTATTTTTTTGGAGCTTATATGAGATCTAGGTATGCTTATAGTTGCTTTGAGAAATGTTCCACTTGGCTGTGTTCCCTTGGTTTGTCATGTTCTGCTAGTGTCATTTTCATATATAATACATGCAACATGCACTATTATTTTTAAGTTGGTGACCAGTTAATCCAGAACGGTAGGTTTTGGTGTTCTCCATTTTCTTCTAATAGAAAAGTAATCTTATCTCTATCACCCTTCTCTTTCTTTTTGCAAGAACTTTGGCATTCTCTTTCCCCTCTCATCTCTTTTTCCTCCAGTCATAGCACATGAATTGTGGGGAGGAATCGATTAGTGATAAACCACTTTAAGGTTCTCTGCACCTTTTTTGGTTCCATAAATTATGCTTGAGGTGTGTATTAGTAGATATAGGTTTTATGCTTCATGTAATATGATCAAAATTTTTGTATGGTTTTTGAAACGGTTAGTATTTTAGATGGAAAATGGGTTACAAGTTGTTGACATTTTGGAATGTATCAATTGTTTAAAAATAAAATTTTTTGTTAACAATATTTTTTTTCTCCTAATTAATCCTTTTGATGTTTTTTGTTTGCCTTGGTCTTCTTAAATGAAGTGTTTTACTTTAGATTGTATTTTACTTTAGGTACTTTAACAAAGATCTCAGAATTTGATCAATTCAATCTACTTTTTGCTGTTGTGTACTGGGTTGCTTGACCAATTTCTGCTCATTTGCTCCAATTTCTTTTCAGGTGCTGCTGAACCTCGAGAAGCAGAATATAGATCGCAAACTCTAGGAGAACATGGAAGTATGAGCAGTGAAGAGCATGATCACTCGGCACTATCTGGTGATATATCTCATGTCCATCCTCATGATCCTTTTTCTGCTAATGAAGCAGTTTCTAAATGGCAATTGAAAGGCAAAAGAAATATTCGCAATATTACTAAAAGTTCTGCAGAGGCATCTGACAGAAGAGATTTTAATGGATCCATTCACAGAACTTATCGGGAAGAAAAGGGAGCTGCTTTCACCCCCAGAGCATCAGGGAGAAGTATGAATTCCCGGAGAAAGGATTATTTCAATGACGCCCTTGATGAGGTGGATTTTGATGATAAGGATTTCTTTTCCCCTATGGTTGGGTTGGATGGAGGATATCCATATATGCCTAGGGCTCCATCAAGAGGTCATAATAGTTTCAACCGTAATATCCTTGATTGGGACGACATGGCATGGGAAAATCAGCCAAGCTCCAGAGGGCACTGGGGCCACCAATTGGAGCGTTTTAGTCCAAGATTTTTCGGCCACTATAGTTTTGGTGGCAGGCCACGAACTATGATGGTGGATGTAGACCTGAAGGTCCAAGCAAGCTATCCAAAAGAGCGTGTTCCCATAGTTTCTCTGATGAGCAAGTTAAATGGGAAGGCAATAATAGGGCACCCACTCCAAATTGAAAAAGTAGAAGATGGTTCATCTGATTGTCTTATACCTGCAAATGAATATTTTGGCAATGAAGCAATTGATCATGATAGAACGCTTTCTCCAGCTTGGAGGACTGCAAGGAGGACTAATCTTCGGGTTCCACGATCTCATTTATCATCATCACCGAATGGTGACATGGCTGCTGAAAGTCATTCTTTTTTAGATGATGACAGAAGACTGTTCAAGAAACAAAATATGGGAAATTTCAATCACAAGGAAAGTGTGGTTAAGAAAAACCAGTCACATGGTCCCCGGTCTGCCATGGATAAAAAGTTTCCAAAAAAGCAGCCAAAGAAAGTAAGCTTATCCACTAGCCAAAAAACAAGAACCCTGTCATCAATTGCCATTGACCATAGTCTCAGTTCTAGGACCTTATATGATACCAAAAGTAGTCAAATGAATGGGTTGATCAAACCAGCGTCATCTGGGCCAACAACAGTAGCTTGCATACCGGTGAAATTAGTATTCAGTAGGTTACTCGAGAAGATCAATAGGCCGCCTTCAAGAGTATCTAGTAAAGTGGTTCAGTCAAGTAGCGGTGCAGAGAGGAATCCATCATAGATTACATGTACATTGTTATATGGGAACACACTAATACATCCAACACAGCATTTCTTGCTGATTTCCTCTTTCTGACAAAAGCATCGCTGTATACATTGTCGGCAACACGGTGTGTAGATTCCGCCGTCATGAATAATCAGATAAAGCAGGTAATGTGGAAGAAACTACTATATACTGAATATGTTGGATGATGACGCTGTTTAGACTTTTATTGTTTGTAGCAACATTTGTTGGATGGGAGAAGAAAAGCAGCTTTAATTAGGCAGAAACAGAGTAATTAGAAACTATAGTGGTTAAAATTAGATAGTTCTGAAACCATATAGATGATTGTATATTTTAGTTTCCCATAAAAAGCCTATTTATATTTCAAACTTTTTTTTTTCTCGATTAATTTAAAGATAAAGGAGCTTATGAAATGACTTTCTGCTTTGTTTGTATGTACTAGCGACTTAACATTGTGAGACAGATTCTTAGTATCTTGAATGCCATGAGGTCTAAATAACAGAAACCTGATATGTTTATGATTCCGGTTTCAGTCCAAATATAGTTATTGTTGCATATTTAATCCCACTTATCATTTTGTCTCAGCAAATTTTTTTTCTCGGGGTATAATTTTTTCAACGAGTAATACTAAACTTTCCAAGTGAAATCCCCCATTTTCCATCCAAAGTGATATGTCCGTCTTATGTGGTGTTGATCTGTAAATGAATAATTTGATGTGGTAAATGATATGTCAATGCCACATCAAACGACTGATCACTTGGGTAGGAAATTCAGGTTTTCATTGGGGAAGAATAGTATTAACTATTTTTCGAACTCTTTTCTGAATGTCGAAAAATAGTTGCAGGAAAGTGGATTTTGTTGGTGTTCACAATGTTAGAATGCATTCGTTAGCATTTTCCCAAAACTGTATGATGTGAACGCATTCGATAACGCCTTTTGAAAACTATATTTTGAAAATGAAAGCAGTAAAAACATGTTTAGTAGAATATTTCCAGAACAGTAAATATGTTAACATGTATTTAGTAGAGATGTTTTGGGAAGTTATCTTATCATAGAATGTGTAACTGTTTCTTCAATGGATTGATTGAATAACAAAGAACAATCTTATTAGCTTTTAATCAGACTGATAAATTCATAATTGGTAGATCTTTTCTGACCTGATTATAAATCCAAACTTTGAAAGGGTGTGACAGAACAAACACAAATTCTCCATAACATACAGGATAATATTGCTATTCATGAGCAACTTCTAAGCACAAATATGCTAACAAATGAGGTGCCGTGAAAGCAAACAAAAATGAGCTCAAGGTATATTACCTTAATATTCAAATTTCTATAAGAAAAATGAGTCATAAAATGGAATGTTTTCCTTGATCCATGGAAGGACTGCTATCAAGAATTCACATCAAGAATTCTTTCAAAGGATACATTTTGTAAAAATACTCAGAAACTCTACAGTCTTAGTAGTCAAGAAATCTGTGAGATTCAAATATTCAATATGCTAACCTAATGGAGTTGAACACTTAAGCCTCTTAGCTAAAACCAAAGGTGTTAACCATTGCAGACTCAACCAAAGTATATAATACTTTTCAATAACATCGGATGTATTTGTATAAAGCGATCTTACATGAGGTAAATGAAATAAACCCAAACTAATTATTATAACTTGCATCTGGGAGTATAATAAAGTATCAATACATCGACAGTAAAATATGCAACCTTATAATGTAAAACTTATAATATGCACTACAGTGCTATATAATAGTTGCCCTTGCATCTTTATTTAGTTTCTAACGAAAACATTGCACAGTTCTGCTCTTATCCATATCAAACATAGTAAGTTCACACAAAATACTTATCTCACAACAAAATGAAGAGATGCAGCGCACTTATAGGCTTGCATAAAGTAGATAAAAGTGTGGAGAAGGCGTGATATCCATGTCTGCATGCCTTTAAGAAGCTTTCCATGAAGACAGTGGTGGAGTTTCGGAGTCCTTGTAAGTAGCAAAGTCACTCATATATCTTTCACCCTTTACAGCATCTGCTGCAGCAATGGATTCAAGTTCAGCCATTTCTTCTGGAGTTAGTTTCACAGACAACGCTTTAATATTTTGGTTGAAGTTTTCGATTTTGGTGGTTCCAGGAATTGGACAAACATCATCTCCTTGGTGATGAACCCAGGCTAGTGCAAGCTGTGATGTGGTGCATCCTTTCTTTGCTGCTATCTCATTAACATGCTCAAATAACTTCTTGTTATGCTCCAGATTTTCAGGTTGCAACCTGGGTAAAGACTGCAAAATTTGGAATATAAAGTTTGTTACGTTAGAGGAGAGGTCACATGAGAACAACAACAGTATTACCACCCCTTTCCCCACAAGACTTAGCCTGCTTGCCCCGCACTGCACAAAGCGTTGTGCTAGAAAACATGTGTTGAATGTAAATGTAATACATTACAAATACTAACAATTAAATTGTGGTTTACAGACCTGTCTAAAATCATCTTTTGACATATTTTCAAGCAACTTAGGCCCCGATGAAAAGAATCCTCGTCCTAGAGGACTGTATGCAACAATCCCAATGCCAAGTTCCCTGAGAAATCAACAAGATTGTGTTAGTGTTTTATTTTTCGTAATCTCTTTTTTATTCGACCCAACGCAATTAGTTAGTCCCATTAATGCCTTACCTGCAAGTAGGAACAATATCTTCCTCTACATCCCGTGACCATAAGGACCATTCCAATTGCACAGCTGTTATTGGATGAACAGCATGAGCTCGTCTAATTGTTGAAGAAGATGCTTCAGATAGACCAATATACTTTATTTTGCCTTCTTCAACTAGTTTTTTGAGTTCCCCAATCTTTCAAAACACAAAAGAAAAGAAACAAAAATTAGTGTATGCCTCATAGGAAGCTTGTTCAGAAGATATGATCAACATAAGGAACAAAGCCAAATGTACAAAAAAGGCAAAGTGTTGAACTCTGTGAGTTCAGATTGTTAAGTGTAAAAATATGGCTGAAGTCAACAAGGATTGATGCTCACAACCCAACAAATATTACACTGTTTGAGTTCAGATGCTATCAATAATGATCCAATGATGATTTGAATTTCCCCACAAATATTTCCCTAGAGGACAATAGAAAACAAACAAGGATAATTTCTTGATATGAGCTTTTATTTTATAAACAATACCTGTGATCGGTAGTCAATAGAAAAAAATGTCAATTAAAAGTATCTCGACTGCGAATTAAAGTATCAGAAGAATGGACATGTTTCAGTAAGCTTAGATTAGGAGAGGGTCTGAGTTAAGAGAGATACTCCTAACGACTGCCTCATTTATAACTATATTTCATCTCCCTTCAATGAACTATAACCCACATGTGAGACTGCCTTTCAATTATAGCATCAGTAATATACCTCAAACTGAACTAAATGATATAAACATCTCCCTTGTCTTACCAGCAAACAGACATAAATGCATTCTCCATGCAGGCCAGATCTCTACCGTATTGACACTCCCCTAAACAGAGTGCTTGTAGTCTCCAGTACACATCAATAAGGCATGGATAATGCCACACATTTTCAATAAAGAACAAGAGAAACAGGAAGAACCTCTGATCAATGTAACTACTCTCATTCATTCAATTTGAAAGAAACTTAAAAGAAACCTTGTTAGCTGCAGGCCGTTCAATTGGTTAAACTGATTTAGCCGCATAATAATGTGCACAAATAACAATCTAAATGTGATTTTGATTAATAGTACTAATTAACAAGCAGAGTAAAATTTTAACAAGGGGCAAACCGTGACTTCAATGGGAACTCGAGTGTCAATCCGATGTTGGTAGTAAAGATCAATACAATCAACATCTAGCCGCTTCAAGCTCGCCTCACAGGCAGCCCTCACATAGGCCGGATCCCCACGTATTTCCCTTTTGCCGTCCGCAAAGCTGATACCAAATTTAGAGGCCAATTCAACTCTTTCTCTCATCCCTCCCTTCAAAGCCTGCCCAAATTCACGTTAAAAAAAAAACCTACAATCAAGTTTAAAACCCTATACAAATCCACAGCTAAAAAATAAGCCAAAAACATAGCCTAAAACAACATGACAAAGTTTTACTAACTTCCCAAAAAATGTAACATATTGGCTTCAAAAAATCATCAAAAACCTCGTCTAAATTATGAAATCATCATCTCATCCATCTTTTCTCCTTCATTTCCCAACCATATGGATGCATGACACATATGCAATTAGAGCAAAATAAAATACACAATCTTTTAAAAAAATTCTCTGTTCATTATCCAAACCCAGTCGGTGTATGATCAAGTCAGGCCTGAAGAAACTCAACAAAACACACAAGAAAGTAAAGAAAGAGAGAAAAAGAGTGAACCTTGCCGAGAAGAATTTCATTGGTGTGAGGTCCATACACATCAGAAGTGTCAAGAAAACTGACACCACTGTTGATGGCATGGTGGATCAAGGCGATCATTTCAGGCTCAGGTTTTGGAGGGCCATAGAAGGCTGACATGCCCATGCAGCCTAAGCCTTGAGCTGAAACTTCCAGGCCTTGTGAGCCAAGCTTTATTCTCTTCACTGTCGCCATTAATTTCTCTGTATTTCTGGTTGAATTTTGATGGTAAAGTAAATGAGTTCGAGACTGTGAAGTGGGGTTGTGTTGTGTGGATTGCTTTGCCTTTGTATGGCCGGCCACTTTTTATAGTGTTTGAGTGAGTGAGCTGGGTGACGACATGCTTAGGTAAGCTCTTACGGATAGTAAAGGGACGAAAGTAAGAGAAACAAAAGAGTTTGGGGTTTTTTGGTGTCAATATTTCTAGTATTGTCCGTCCAATTTTGGACTCATGTAACAAGTTAATTATGGAAAAATAGGATTGACTAAAAGAGGGTTTATTATTTTTATTTGTTAGTATGGATGTGGTAAGAGCTTACTTGAGCATAGCATCATTCTCCAATCAAATTCAACCATCATTTATTTATTCAGAAATACTAGACTCATAAACCCTTTTCACAAACTTTCTCTTACAAACGCGACGTGTCAATTTATAATTTGACAACTTATAATAGGTCTTGCCTGACCAAATACGAATTGACTAATTACGAACTATTACGTCAGCGTTTGTGAGAAAAAATTGTGAGAAGTGTTTATTAACCTATTTTTATTCTTATTTTTTATATGTTCATTTTCCAAAGGTCAATTTACAAGAATGGGTTTTACGTATAAACTATTCTTACCATAACTCAAAGCTGACTAGATAATGGAAGAAGCATGATGAGTTTATCTCTTAAAACCCACAAATTGTTTGCTCGTTACTTACCTCCCTTTTACTACTAGTAAGTGCTTACTTAAGCTATCGTCTCAAATTAAAGAGGATCCACAATAACGTAATGGAATTTAGACAAGCAT